TGGTACTTGAAACATCAACCCAAAAATATTTAGACTGAGTGTGTTATCACTTCCACATGACCACTCTATCCAAAGACCACCATTTCATTCCTACTGACTTCAAGATTCCAAAGTAAATGTACCATTTAAATCATTTTTTAAAATTTTAATTCAGTAAGACTTTTCCTCTTTCAGAAAGACCAAGTTGTCATACCAAAGCAACGCTGTGGTGGCTGACTCTAAGGACATGAGTCCACAGCTGCAGCCCCGCCCCAGAGAAGCCTCACATTAACACGGTGGAGACAGATGCTCTAAAACATTCCTCAGATTACTAGAGACTCAACACCAGCCTGATCTGCCTGGTCTACAAACTGTGTACCAACCCTCTCTAAAGGATGACAGCCAAGTCGGGAGACAAACGTGACCTGACCAGTGAAGGGAGGACTCCGTACAATACCCTCCCCTTCCTAATGCTTGATTCCCAAGTGCTGTCGGTGTCACTGGAGGCCCGTCACACCGCTGAGTCACTTGATCTTGTCACCCTGGTGACAAGATGAGTCACCCCCATTCCACATTTATGTAATTGACTTTATGACCCCAATGTGAGATTTCACATTTACCTACATCAAATCCAGATCATTTCACAGCAATATGAGGGAAATTATCTACAGGGAAGATGCACCAAAGAGACTCCTATATACAACTTTCTGAGGTTTGCTTATTCAGTCACACTGGCTCTTCTAAACTGAAGTGTAGAATGGGAACACAGCCTTTTAGCTGAAAGCCTCAGACAGTAACTTGGAGCACTTTGACCCTGACTGAAGGAAAAAACCCACAAACATTTATCATCATGTAATTTTCTGTTAGTCACTTAAGCATTACTCTGGCTCTTTCTTCACTTGATAAGAATAGTTAACACAGGTAGATCCCTATTTCTGACCTTCCAGATATACTTATTTAGTAATAATGCAAAGAAACTAGAGTGGGTTGCCATTTCCTTCTTCAGTGAATTAATGACATATTCAAACTAAAATGGCTAGGGAAGAAAAAAAACTAGGAGATTTATAAAAAAGATTATTTTTCTATGCATTGGAAAGTCTGTTGAGCAAATACAAAACATGTATAAAAGATGTCTAACGTTAAATCACAGATTGCAATGTAACTGATAGCCCAATCTATGATCATAAGAAAAACGAACATACAAACAAATCCAAAGAAGCACAAGATTTCTTTAGCTCAATCATCTGCCTTCCAGAACCGTGCAGGGCTCTGGGCTAGAAAGTACACACACAATTCAGGTCAGACTGTACTTTCGGAAACATTTCCCTTTTAGTTGTTGCCCTATCGTAGAAATCAGCATAGCACTGAGGGTTGAAATAATCTGCTGATGTCATCAATTTTCAAGAGTGAAGGGAGGCTCCTCCCTCAGCGCGCGTGACTAAGGCTATCTGTGTGGAAACAGCCTTCTGGTTGCTAAGGAATTCATTGGCTCTGGGCTATTTGTTTCCCGCTCTGTTTGAAGCCACAACCTTCTGTCTGCTTGAGATATCATCATTCATCTTCAGAGCTGAAGTGTGTCACGCTACATAAAAAGAGGTTCTTATTTGAAACACCATTTGGAGATTCTTATCGAGTAAAGGAAGAGCTAGAGTAACGGTCGTGATTAACAGAAAAGTGTAATATTCATACACGTCAACAGTCTCTCTGGCCAATATTTTAATGTGCTTTTGTTTTAACACCAAAGAATTTCATCAAGATTTTTTGTTTCCCCAAATTACTAAAATAATACATGCTCACTGTAACAAGGCAAACAATTTGCAATTTGTAGCTGTGTGAAGTTCCATCACTTTCCCGCTTCTCACTCCCACCCTAAGATAATCCATTTTATGCCCCTGTAATAATCCATTTTGAAACCTGATGTGTATCATTCCATGTTTTATCCCAAAAGATAGAGCCACCATGTTAGTGCATGCCTTTTGCCCAAACTTTGATAATACTGGATGTTACCAGCCTTTCTAAATATTGTCAAGCTAGTGGGTAAAAAACAATCACATTTTGTAATTTGTACTTCTGTGAGGCCAGTTTAAATATTCAAAGGTCATACTGCTGTAGTTCTTCTTAAAAATTATATTCATCAGCTGTCAAAAGACAAGGTATTCTTTTTCTTTATTACTTTTTAAAATCCTGAAGGGTATAAACCTTGTATACTATTTGCTTTGTAAATGTCCACAAAACTACAAATGTTAACTTGCCTAGAAGACTCAATGTTGTAGTTCTACGTGATGAGGTAAAGTGTGGATATTATCAGAATCAAACTATAGGATCCTAATTTTTAATCATCTGAACTAGGTGTCAATCTTAACAATCAAGAGGTTTTGCCAACCCTCCAATCCAGCTACAGCAGTCAAATTAACAAAACATTAACAAGCAGAAGAGCAACCAAAATCAACAGATGATCACTAAAGGTAAAAGGAGAGTGACCACAAGGCTCCTTTGAATTGGGGGATAAGCAGGCTTATCTGAGATGGTAATAATTAAGACCTGAGTATCAAGAAAGAACCAAGATTAGGGAGAAGAGGGTACTGAAAGCCCAGTCAAGGAATAGAAAGAACATGTGCCTAAAAAACAGTGAGTTTAGGAGAGAACAGCAGGAAGTAGGAGGTACTGGGAAAGATTGAAGGTAGGAGGAGAAAGGGATGACAGAGGATGAGATGGTTGGATGGCATCACTGACCCGATGGACATGAGTTTGAGCAAGCTCAGGGAGTTGGTGATGGACAGGGAAGCCTGGTGTGCTGCAGTCCAAGGGGTCGCAAAGAGTCGGTCACAACTGAGCGACTGAACTGAACTGAGGATTACTGGAATGCATGTGAGTGAAGCAGATTTGGAGATAGGAGGTAGGAATCAAGAATCTTGTTCACACATGTGAAGTTTGAGGCCTATTACACATCCAAGTGTCTGAGGACAGGCAACCCAAGAGGTAATTCCAGGGTCCAGAAAGGGGCTCTGGCCAAAGATAAGTACTGAGGAGACACTGGCATCAAGATGCCACTTAAAAGCACTGGACTCAATGAGATCATCCAAGGGTCATCCACAGGAGTGAAAAAAGTCAGAGTTCCTATACAGAGACAAAAATCACAGTTAAGCACAGATGTTCTTTAAAAATATATCGATATTACACCATGATTTAAAGATAGGACTCTGAAAATTAGATATATTGATAGTAAAGTTTTAATATGCATTATTTTCATGAACCCTCTGAGTTACTTATAAGGCAAAAATTTTATATAAAAATGCCAATAATAGCCTCTAAAGTACTTCTGTGAGTTCAGCTATTCACATGGAAGGCGGTGGCATTTTAAGTGAGTCACGTGTAAGACATACAGATACAAAATATTCTGGCTTCATGAGTAAACACAGGTAACTATCTGTCACAAAGCCTTAGGTGATACACACACCATGTGGAGTAATAAGAGAAATTTCTTCAAAAGATTTCTTGTGTCAGACAGTAACTTAAAAACACATTTAAGTACTCTGATTCCCATACCCTTGAGAATGAGAGCCTCCTGAAATCTTACATCCCAGATGCTTCCCCTGCCCCACCCTGGTCTCAGCTCAGCTGACCTTATTTGTTCAGTCTAAAAACATGGGTTTCATGTAATTTATTCACATGATAAAAATAATGAATGTGCACATATCAATTAACATACTGACATCTAAAATAAAAACTCCCAATTTAATTTTTGAAGAAAGCTTGAAAATTTACAAATGCCATGACCTAACAAAATGAAAGTAAACAGACCTCAACTAATTTTAATCTCATAATTCATCTTACATCATGTAATTGACTCTTGGAGAAGCACTTTTGAAAGTCAAGAAATAGTTTGACTGTACATAATAGAACCCAACATATATACAATTTTCAGATCTCTTTACAAGCGTGCTTCCTCTTTCTGACAATGAAAGTAACAGAAAAATAAACTTTCTAGTGAAATTGAAACAAATATACCAAAGAAAACCACTCAAAGTTCAGTTCTGTTTTGAAGCAATTAAACATTAAGTACCAGGGATTTTCCAACTAAGTAGCTGAAACTCTTAAAATACTTGATGGCTTGGGAAAAAAGTATTTTACATATTAAATACTAGTTGAATATCTTGAAGTATTAATAAGCAATTTTAACAATCTATTTCCATGATTTGTTATATGTATTATTTATAACATACAGGTATATTACAAATATGGAATGTATAAAATCATGAGTAAATTCCAAGTAATCAGTATATAAGACTTCATGGTAATGATTTCATTCTAAAGGAAAATATAGTAAGCTGAATAAATATAGCTGTAAAAAAAAAAAGTAAAACAAAATGGGCACAAGTGAAATTCAGTTTGCTCAAGCAACAAAATCAGGTAACTTTTAAAGATCATTAACATTCCCCAGATTCCTATTGGCTCATTCACATAACTACTGTTGATAGAAAATTTGGCTTTCAATAACAGCTAAAAAGGCCTTGTTAGTTGAGAAAAAAACTGCGCTCATTTAAAAAATTAAATATCTTCATTCCAAAAGTATTGTAATTAAAATAAACTTTGTCACATCATTTTGAGGCAACTACTTCATGGTCTAAAAACTTAATTCCAAATTCCTATCTCATACATGGCAATAAAATCAGAATAATAACAAAGTCTCTACTTTTCGTAAAGAACGGAATGAAAACTTGAAAATAGTTAAGTGCTGTATATTTATTCACTTGTAGGAAACAGCTAGCATACTTTCAATGTCAGGTATGTAGCTATCTTATCACTCAATATGAGCTAGATAAATAAATAAAATGAAAAGAAATATAGCAAAGATCAAAGAAAATAAAACAATAATCAAAGTAATAGAATTCACACATAATTCAAGAGGAATGAGAGGCCTGTAAGGACAGAAAAAGTCAGCAAATAAAATGCACACTCACACTGCCGGCAATGTCATCATTATTAAATACAGAGTTTGAAAGAAAAGGAGTCCTGCTTACCTGAGACAGGAGCATACACAAGACACAAAGCAAAGAAGAACAAAAGAGAACTTGGCTTCCACTTCCAATGACAGCTCCACATGCGGCCTGAGTGAAACATCCTGCCACGAAAGAAAGCAACCATCAGGACACTCGGTAAAGCATTCAGTCAAAAACCGGAGGTTTCCAGCAGGGACTGCAAAAGAACCTTTCCCAGCCTTGCTTCCAAGGAAGAAAAGAAACCTTGAAGATGATAAACTAAGGATCCCCCTTTAAGCTAATTAGGTAAAAGAAAAATAACCCATGCATTTTATTTGCTACTTGGTGACACTTTCCTTATCAGAGATATATAACAGATGACTCCTGCAAAAAGATGGGGAAGTATTCTGATAATTCAAGGAAAAAAATCACTTGTTTAAAAAAAAAACAAAAACACAATTCTAGCATCAATCTTCAGCATCATCAGTCACGTGCCCATCTGAGTACCAAGAGGATGCTTTTATCAACCTCTTCTATAATCTCCCAGAAATTTAAACTCTAAGGAAATGGTTTCATTTTATAATATCTGCTGCTTTACAAGCGGAAATATTAAAATCAAAGTGCCCAAACTTTCTTCTTTACTCTAAAATTAAGTACTGAAGCTTAACTTAATTAGTACTGTCAGTTCTAAAATTATATATATTAATAGTATCAATGTTTTTAAATGGCTAGTAAATATCAAGTATTGTAGAACCTAATAAATGACATTAAATGGAGGGGTGGTGCTTTGAAGGCCCTCAATTCTCTGTACAGTAGTCTTATCTCTAAACTCAAAATTACACGTGATGATTTAGATGGGAACATCCATATTATCTTGGCTGAAGACAGTGGCATGCTACCTTCCATTGACTTAGTCCTATCAAAAGAGGCAAACCACTGCAGGGGGCAGTGGGTGTGAAAGGCAGTCACAAAAAGGAACCATAAATGAACTGGTGAGCAGGAGAGTCACGAGGCAGGAAAAAAGGTAAGTGGCAGGAAGAAACCTCCAGATCTTAAAAGCCCCAGAGTTACTTTAATTATAAATGATAATTAAGAATCATTGTATTTCTAAAAACAGGAGCAACTAATACAATGCTTTGGAGTCACAGTAACATACTTCTTCACCTGCAGGTTGCTTATCTGGAAAAAAATGTGTAATAAATAGAAAACCAGAAAGTGGTAACAGAAATACTTGAATAATAAAAATTAGACATTAAACTGATTCTTGCACTTGCCTCAAACCTACCCTTCTAACTTATCTGAGACACAGTTAAGTAGAGACTACTTAAGTTGCAAAGAGAGAATAAACTCTGGAGCCAGACAGACCTGAGTTTGCTACTGATGAACTAGGTAATCCTTGGAAACTTGACTTGATCACCTTGTACCTCCCAGTTTTCACCTGTAAAATAGGAACATCAGTACAATCTAGTCCATAGAGCTGGTGGATGATTAAATCAAATCATGTCTTTTAAGAAACGTGTCTAACATTCAGCAAGTGCTCAAGGTTGTTGTTGTTGTTTAGTCACTAAGATGTGTCCGACTCTTTTATGACCCCCCTGGACTGTGGCCCACCAGGCTCCTCTGTCCATGGGATTTCCAAGGCAAAAATACTGGAGTGGGTAGCCATTCCCTTCTCCAGGGCATCTTCCCAACCCAGGGATCAAACCTGTGTCTCCTGCATTGGCAGGCAGATTCTTTCTGCTAGGCCACCAGGGAAGCCCAAGTGTTCAATAATATCAGCTATTTTTATTGTTACTATCATCCTAAGCATTCTAATATAAATGTGGTTATTTTGTCAACAGTGAAGTAAGAAAAAAAAAGGACTTTACCAAGAACAGGCAATAGGATCAATATTATAAACCAATACCAAACTATTGACTTTGTAGCTATTTCTGGGATCTCCTTGGAACAGAGATGAAATAGACTATTCAAGTATGCCACGAAAGAAGAAATTTAAAATAGTATCTGATTCTGTGCATGTTATTTTATACACACCAAACTAGAAGCCCCAGCATCACACAGCTCTTAGCAGAAACTCTACACAAGAAAACAGCTACATAGTACTTTTGCACAACATTGCAAATCAACTGTACCAATAAAAATTTTTAAATATTAATTTAAAAAGTATTTTTGCATGGAAGGTATATTTTCAAATACATCCACCCAAAATATTTGAAATTAAAAGTAGTGTTACTGCTTACATGAGAAACAAAATGTTCTAGAGTCATTTGTTGCGCTCAGTCGCTCAGTTGTGTCCGACTCTTTGTGACCCCCTGGACAGTAGTCTGTCAGCTTCCCCTGTCCATGGGGATTTCCAGGCAAGAATGCTGGAGTGGGTTGCCAATTCCTTTTCCAGGGGATCTTCCCAACCCAGGGATCAAACCCATGTCTCTTGCATCTCCTGCATTGGCAGGTGGATTCCTTACCACTGCGACACTTGGGAAATCCCAGTGAATCATTAATAATAACAAAATTATAATGGATGTGAACTCTGGAATAGCACAGAGTTACATCCTGGTACCTCTGTCTACTGTGTGCTTTGAAGGGGCAAGTACTTTAAATTCTGAACCTATTTTCTCTTCTGTAAATAGAATATTACAGGAAGAACTAGATTAACATTGCGTGGAACTTAACGAGAATTTTGAAAAGGGTGGCCAGTAAATCTTTGTTCCATGGAAAGTTCACTTATTTGGAAGAAGGGCCCATTTCCCATTGATGCTGGATATATGAGGTGTTTCCCATTCATGCTGAGCATGGATGAGTGTACTTCTGAGACTAAAGAACAATCATATATTCAAAGAAGTTTAGAGCTGGAAGGGTCAGAGATAAAATCTAACCTCCTCATTTTATGGAGGAGAAAACTGAGGCCCAGAGAAACAAATGGGCAAACCAGAAAAGCCTGGATGGTAGCCTCATAGACATTAACAGAAGGAATATTAGTCCAGGAGAACTGAAGTTTCTCAACCTTTGTGGTACACGGCAATCCCCCTTAATCAGTATCAGGACACTATTAGTGAATAGTGCCCTTCTCTTATGTTCCCAGGTCTTCTAAACAACACTCAGGGAATGACGTTCATTAGTTTGGTGACGCTCAATTTCATGGTGTCTATTTCATGTGCCCATGCAACTTTCTTTTGCTATAAAAGGCGCTGACACTTAAGAGTTCCATGTTCACTCCTGAAGCTATTTTACAAAAGCTCCCTACAATCCTATTAGACAAGAGCTGCAAACGGCAACCAAGAGCTTAATGCATTCCAGTTCTTAGGACTCCATCATGCTGTACAGAAAAGGAACCTAGGACAGGGCAAGCACTTGTAACCAACATAAACGATATGACACGCCAACTTTCATCCACTTAACTGTTTACTGAAGAACAGAAACAAATAAATTAAGAATAGAACAGAGGGAGGAAAGCACTGTCTGTCTTCTCAAGGGATCACTTGGCAAAGACACATCCCTGGGATTGAAACAACTTTCTCACAAAAATGGAAAATCCTGAATAGGGTTACTAAGGTTCTAAACAGGAACTACAAAAAACACAGTATAATTCTGTGTCACTTCATTTGTGGCCTCAGTGTTCTATTGAAAAGAACAAGAATACTTTTTAAGTAAAAGACAGTCATAGACTTCTATAACCTGAAAAGAATCTAAAAGTCATGCAACAAAACCCATCATTTCACAAACGAAAAAGCTATGATGTTTAAACTACTTGCCCAAGATCACATAGTCAGTGATGGCAAAATCAAAAAGACCTCCTGGATCACCTGGCTTCCAACTCAATGGTCCTTTTTGAGAACTAAGCTAACTCTATTGGAAACTCACTCTTCTTTTCAAAGTATATAGACTGCAAGATGAAACATACTTAAATCCTGCATCAGAAAGTTTTAGAACTCAGTCCTTTTATAGGAATTGTTTTAAATGTGGATATGAACCCTTATAGATACCATTTAATCCAAATGCATCACTGAAATAATCTAAAAAACCTGCCCAGTGTTCTGTGATGACCTAGAGGGGTGGAATGGGGTGGAGGGGTGAGGGAGGGTCAAGAGGAGGGGATACATGTATATTTATGGTTGATTCACATTGTTGCAAGGGAGAAATCAACACAACATTGTAAAGCAATTATCCTCCAATTAAAAATAAAAATTTTTTTAAAAACCTACTGTCTTACATCTCTTTATTCCTACTGACTCCTCTAAAAAGTCACAATTAAAGAGAAACTAGTGAAGAGATTTTGAAATTGGTGGAGAAATTAACATGGTACTTATTTTCTTAATATTAGCAATAGTCAGACTTAACTTCTATCTCTATATCCCAATTATATTTCTATGGCAAATCTCTTCAGGAAGGGACATGAGGAATAGCACAGAGAATGCTTTAATTCTTCCAGAGTAAAAAGCATGATGATTTGGTTTATTTAAGCCTGCTTATTATAATCTTGTTTCATCGTCTGGTTAAAGATCATGAGCCTAAACAACGAAGTGCTATTATATTACTTAAAGTAAGTTCTTTTATTAAGTTGGGGTCACTCCTCACTTTAAAAAGGAAAAAGGTTTATAATTCTAGAAATCTGTACAAATCCTGCCCCTTACTTGAGCTATAATATACATAATTGGCTTTACATAGATGAAATTAAGCAATCATGAGAAATACACACACACTGACACAAACACATGTGAAACTGGAAAATCTAACAAAGAGAAGTGTATTTTATCAGTATCCTGGTTGTGATATCGTGCTCTAGTTTTACAAAATGTCACCATTGGGAGGACCTGGGTAAAGAGTACCTGGGCTGTCTCTGTATTACTTTTTAAAACTGCATGTGAATCAACAGATACCTCAACAAAAATTTCAATTAAATAAGTAAACCCTGAAGCCCCAATAAATGTAAGTTACTTTCAGATGATTCAGGGAAAAAAGAGTATGTGTGTGCGTGTGTGTCTACAGACAGTGGAAAGGAGAAGATAAGTAAACTGATAAAACAAATGGGGAAGATATTTACAATAAGTGATTCTGTATCAAGAGTATACAGCTGTTCTTCAGGTTATTTTTGCAACTTCTCTGGAGGTTTAAAATTATTTCTAAATAGAGGTAAATACATATATACACTTTTACAGTGAAGAGTATCAGTGTTTATCTAATGATCCTCTCATCACTACTGGGTATTATTGCTTTAATCATTGCCAGTTTGATAGAAAACAGAATGTCTCATTTGGACTTCCTTTATTTGGATTGGCATATTGAATGATTTGTATAGCTAATTTTCCATTATAAACATTTTCTTTCCTAGTGATTTTTTTTAACCAATTCTATACTAAATATGTTAAGCCTTGGTTATATGTTGTAAATGTTTTCAATACAGCAATATTGAAGTTTTCCTTAAGGCATTCCAAGTAATTCCATCCTGAGTAATGTTAATAAAGGAGAGTAAGATGACACTCAGGTAGTGCACTCAAGTTTACTGGCATTTTTAGTTACGACTGAAATGGCCTTTAAATGTCTATAGCCCCAGTCACTTGCTGTGCTTCTTCATGTCGTCCAATGCAGATAATGTTTTAATGTCATCCAATTAGAAACGAAGTGGAAAGATGCAATTTTGCCCAAGCATGCCACACACACTGAACAAAGTCTTTTTCTATTTAGTCTAAAGTCTAAATGGTCTCTAGAAACTTTTGATCATCCCATCAGAAATGTAAACCCTTATAAGACATGGGCAGTCAGAAAAATGATCAGGTTTAAGGAAGTAGCTGTCAGCTTATTTTTAATATGTAAACTGATTCTCTTTCAGATCATTATTTCCAGAAATCAGAGTGACGTGTCCACTTGGGCAGTAAAACTACAAGCTTCTAATATTTCCCATAAGCCAAGAGACAATAGCCTCATTCACCATTCACACTGGAAAAGCACAATGTCATGTAATTTATATAAGCCATAAATGGAACAGTAGCTTCATGCAGCTTGAGACCAACTAATGCAAGTTTTGCTAAATCTACTAAAATTTAAAATTATGCAGTCACTACAACTCCAAAGTATATTTTAAAGTCTCTAATTCCAGAACTTCAATGTACTAATATATAAACACTCTTTATCAACAAGAGTAGGCATAAAACATATTCAAACAATTTGTGTATTTGAATCTATCAAAATTAAAAATTTAAATGATAATATACATTTTCAATGAGATAGTAGGAATATTTACCTTGGAAAGGTTGGTATTACTTCCATATATCCTAACATACTCATATCTAAAAAGAATCAGATAATCTTAAAACCATTCCATATGAATTATAAACAGAAAAAAAAGAAAAAGTTGCAATCTGACAAGAAATGGAAAAACATTCTGTCAAAATAGCTCAATAAAGAAACTTGAATCAGAGTAATAATTTTGTGATCCATGCTTTTACTGGATAATGACATTAAGATTTTTAAAATCATATCGAATTCAAATAGACTATATAATTTCATAATCAGGAAATTTTAACATTACTTGATCAGTTTCACATCTTTTAAAACCTGGTATTTATATTTTTTTCATGTATAATGTAGTTTTTTTCCCCATAAGGTCCAAATCACCTAGGAAAGCATATAGAAAGCCAGACAAACATCTGCAATCAAAACTCTTACTTATACATTTTCAGGAAAACCTGAAGCTTAAAACAAACTCACATTCATTCAAAATGTGTTGCCTGTATATAAGAATAAGTCTTATATGAAGCTGTTGGCCACATCCCAAAATAAATTCTTCCAGGTTATACCTTGCTGATCCCACTGGGTAAATGAAACTTTCAAACTCACAGGTGTGGAATGACTTCACATGCAGTTTAATAAAAATAAGTAGTTCCTTTCTAATTATACCGCTCACTACCAAGAACAGACCTGCCAAGGGCTAGGCTTCTGGACACTAACCCTTTTTCCTATTTTGAAAATGTGTGCTGGAGGGAGCAAGGCAGAAGGTCCAGGGAATGGAAAAAGACAGGCCTGAGGGGCAGGTTTTTTTCCCAGGTATTAAATTGAAAGAGGAAATTTAAATGGAAACAAGTAAGGCTCCAAAAGTTGGGGGGAGGAGGGTGTATATCAATTTCTAGAAACTCTTGTATATTAGTCAGTGGAAGGGAGTTAAACGTCTGTCCAGAGGTCTGCCCAAGATTAAACAAAACACCAGAGGGAAAATTATATGTTACAAGAAAAAGTAACTTCTGAGTTGGCCACAAAAATAAGCTGGGTCCTTTCGAGAACAAGCTTCCTTTTTCCATTTTGGAAGGCTAAGCCAAGCGGTGCTGGGGGCCCTTCGGCGGGGTCGCCCTGAGGCACATCGCCACTTGGAGAAGAAGTCCATAGACACAAAACCCATCAGGTTTCCCTAAGCGTTTCACCGCCCTACACCCCCCACTCCTACTTCTAAACAAGCCCCTTCAGAGATCCTATCACCTAAAATGACATCTTCTTTAATGACTTTTTAATCTGCAAAGTACACCAAGAACCTTTTCTGCGCGCTTAAAAAAAAAAAAAATCATTCGAACAACCCTAAGATCCAAGAATAACTTCTACAGTCAAGGGTGACAATGTGTAAAGTCAACATTCTCTCGGCATACTGGTACCTTCCAAGCCCCCAGGTGCTGATCCAGGAGAGCGCCTTCTTGGCAGGGCCCGGCCCCTGGATGGAGCGACCGCGCTTGGGACTTCTTGTTGCATTTGAATCGAAAACGTTTTCCCCATTCTTGAAGCCCTGCCCTTTTTATTAGGCTTTACGCCGCCCAAACGTGAGGTTTACCTCTGGCTGGGGGAAAAAAAAAAAAAAAGCCAGCCGCACACACATGTCACAGCTCCGCCCGGCAAAACAGCGGTTCACTCCTCATTGCCTCGAGGGGCGAAGTGAAGACAAACCGGTTTATTCTGTCGGTGCGGCTTAAGCCTTTACAAGGCGGTGGGGTCGGGCACGGGGAGTTAGGGGGCGGGCAGGGGGAGGGGGGCACAGGTAAAGGTGTGCAGGAATTCGAAGCCGAGCGGGTGGGGGGTACTTACATGTTGGCATCACTGCGCTGGGGTCCCCAGGGGCCGCGCGGTCATGCTCCGCAACCTTCACCAGGCTCCGCGGCTCCAAGCTCCCCCGATGAAGCCCCCAGCCAGGCCGAGCGCGGTGGCCGGACCCGCCCTCACGCTCCTTCTGGAGAGTTCATCGGGGCTTTCCGGGCAGCTCCGGGGTGGCGCGAGGTGGAAGGTCGGCGCCGCGGAGTTCAAGTGCGAATCGCCGCGGCCAGGGGGCGGGCGGGGCGGCAGGTTCCTCCTTGCGGAGAAGTTGGAGGAAAGTTAGGGCGAGAACGTGGAAGCGGCTGGGTCCGCCTGGGAGCCGGTGCTGGGGACTCCGGGGGCCCCGGGGGCTCCCGGAGTGGCTGGGTGGGCGGGTAGGTGGAGTGGTCCGCTGGCGCGCGGCAGCACGTGGTCACCCGCTTTGTGGCTCCGTCTCCCCCCCTACGCCGCCCCGCGGGCTCGGGTTGTTCCCGGGACCGGTCCACCCCGCCCGCGCTTCCGGCGCCGAGTGTGCCGGACCAGGGGCTCAGGTGCGGCTGCCCCCGCGGCGTCTGGCCGGGCCCCGCGCGGCCCTGGGGCGGCCCCAGCCTCGCTGATCCGCCGCGGGGGCCGTCCCGGAGGCGCTGCCGCCCCACCCAGGATCCCAGCCCCGGGGCTGGAGGGAAGAGTCTGGCTGCGGGGTGGGAGAAGCACTCCCCAAGCGGGCAGCGAGGGGCAAGGTGCGGGGGCCGGCGTGGGTGGGAGACTGGCTCCCGGCCCGGCCCGGCTGCCCGGCGGGGGAGCGGGCGGGGCAGACCCAGAGGTCGCCCGAAGCAGGGCGCCCTGAATCCAAAAGACCCGAGCCGCTCGGAAGGCCCGCGGGGATGAGGGTATCTCCTCCCTGTCCCCCAGTGGTGCAGCCCATCCGAGACTGCGCGGAACCCCGCCGCCAAGTTCCCACGCCATTGTCTTGCTTTCTCCTTTTTCCTTTCTTGCTTTTCAGTCCCTTTCTTTGCTCTTCTCCTTGCTTTTCTTTCATCTCTTCCCCCCACCCCTCGCTTTCGTTCTTCTCCATCTGATTATCAGGGTGAAGGGTGAGCCGTCTGTCCTCAGCGTGCACCCAGCCACTCCATACCATCACATCTCTTGGTCCCTGCTGGGAGAGAGGGGGTGAGGCCCTCAGCGCGCCCTTCTCCACCCAAGGCTGAAGACCCGCCTGAGGAACCTGCGGCAGTCGCCCTGTTCCTATACCCAGCACGGAAATACAGCACTACCCTCTTCCACTGATTTGTTGACACCTGTAATTCCATCCATTTGGCTTAGAATTTTGTCTTCTGTTGAAATGTATCTAAGTACTCCTAAGGAGTGGTAACACTGTAAAGCTTTGACATTGCCGTTGGTTTGGATTGTTCAGATCCCTTCTGGAAAGAAGCTGATAGGCCGTGGAAACAGCCTGAGAGATCTGAGAGTGGTTGCGGAAGGGGTTAAGTGAAAGCGGAAACTGGGCAGGACAAGTGACAAGCTGCTTGCTCCACAATCTGGCCTGGGACCCTCCTTCTTCAGCCCCCTCTAGCTGCTTCACTGGGACTCAGGGATAGGGCTGGACAAGTCATCCTTTCTTTTAAAATCTGCACCACAACAACAGCAACAAAAAAGGGATATTAACATGGGACTGACTAGATGTTCACCTAATATTCAGCAGGATTGATTTGCAAATGCAAATCCAGTTACTCTGGGGAAAGTTCACTGCCTGGCCTCCTATAAAGTAGCTGCCTGGCAAAGGGATGTGGACACACCCCCTTGGAAATGAGAAGAGGAAAAAAAGGACTCACACTTGCAAACATGTTCCCTCACCCTTGGGTACCACCAGTTAATCCATGAAAGTACAGGAGGCAAAACCAAATGTCAGTGCCGTATACGCATCCAGAGCCCAGCATGAACTGCGAGCATGCACACACAGGCCACAAGCAAGCAGAAGTGCCAAAAACTGCACATGACGTTGATTGGCTAGTGATACAGACTAGCAGGGGTGGAAAAGAAGAGGTAGAACAGGACTTGATCACAGACAGCTACCTGCACAAAGGATGCTGGAACACTGCCACCAAATCTGGAGGCCTGAAAATCCAGGGTGTGTCCTTCTTGTGACTTTCATCAGTATTTATTTTGATGAATAAACCATATGACTAATAGAGACATTGAATTGTAGCACTTAAAGGAGACTAAAGTTCTAGTGTCCAGTCCTCTCATATTACAGATAGGAAAATGAGACCCGGAGATGTGACACCTGCATAAACTAGCTGGCAGTGGCCAGAAACTAGGACCCAGGTCTCCAGACCGAAGTGACCAGGGGCTAGGACCCAGGTCTTGCAATTCAAATCAGCCTCTATTATGCAAGACTGTTCCAAAGGAATTTAAGTTCCACTCATAGAATGTTATTAAGGCAAACATATTTATTATTTCACAATCCTCAAGTAGGGAATCTGAAGAGAGCTAAGTATGATGTCTCTCGTGAGACTGCAACAAAGGTGTTGGCTAAGACTTTGATGTTATCTGAAGGCTCAACTGGGGAGGGATCTGCCTCCAAGTTCATGCAGGTAGTTGTTCTACTCGTCGAATTCTAAAGCTAAAAGGAACCAGGAAACGCATGGGCAAAGAAGTAAATATAAACACCAAATTTATCAGAATTCTCCAGAGAAATGGGATGTATATATGTATATAGAGGTTTAAGAAATTGACTTAACATGATTATCAGGTAGAAGTCCAAAATCCTCAGGGTAGGCCAGCAGGCTGGAGACTCAGGAAAGAGTTGCAGTCAAGTTCAAAGGCAGTCTGCTGATAGAATTCCCTCTTGCAGAAGGTCAGTGTTTTTCTATTCAGGCCTTCAGGTGATTGGATGAGGCTCACACGTATTGTGGATGGGAGCCCCACCCGCAATGTTCTTTACTAAAAACCCAGTGATTTCAGTGTTAATGTTATCTAAAAACCACCTCTGTCACCTTCTGTCTCTGTCACCTTCACAGAGACATCCAGAATAATATTTGACCAAATGTCTGAACACTAAGGCCTAGCCAAGTGGACAGATAAAATTAGCCGTTACAGGAACAGAAACAAATGTACCTGTATCTTGAAGATAGGAGTAGCATATTTAATGTGCTGTTATATGTAAAATGTTCATAAACATATGTACTAATGGTAAGTCAAAGTGTTAGTCTTTCAGTCCTGTCTCACTCTATGGGGCCCCATGCACTATAACCCACCAGTCTCCTCTATTGATGGAATTCTCCAGGCAAGAATACTGGAGTGGGTTGCCATTCCCTTCTCCAGGGGATCTTCCCTACCTAGGGATCAAACCCAGGTCTCACGCATTGCAGGTGGATTCTTTATGTCTGAGCCAGCAGGGAAGCTAATATTTCTGCACAATTACATGAATCACAGGTAAACTGTTTCAAAAAGCCAGTACTTGTCATTGGTCAGTACATTGGTAAAATCTGTGTATTTTGATACTTTTATCCTCAAACTAAGGATTTTTTCATTCCTTTGAAAGGGAAATGAAGTGTGCAGAAGTGAGTACATAATCTTATAATGCAATAACCTCGGTTTAAAACTCGGTCCTTTAATTTACCAGCATTATAAACTCTGGCAGTTTACTATGTAAACTGTGTTATGCTGATTATACTTACAATTTTTAACTCCTCAGCACACTCAGTGAGCTAAAGGTACAGAGCATCCAGCATATTTCCTGGAATTCGGTAATATTGGTTGACTCCGCCTGCCCCATATATCATCCTAAAATGGAAAGTGCCAGGCCACATTCCTCTGCAAACAGGAATTCTCTGACAGCATTCCAGACAAAATGAATATTGAACATCTGTTTGAATCCTTAGCATTGATGAACACTCAACTATGAGAAACTTCCTCTTTCTGTTGATTGAATCAAACATTCATGCCATCAACTTCTATTCAGAACAAGGACATGCTATCTTCCACAAAAAGCCTTTTAAATCTCTGAAGACAGCTATCATCTCTCCCCTCAGCCGCCCCTTGTTCAGCCCTAGTTTTTTTAACCATTCAGTGCCTGACTCCTCACTACCCATGTGAATCACTCTTCCCTACAGACATATAAGTCATTATCAGCCCACGTGAACAATGTTCTCAGAGTGGATTCCACACTTCATCCCTGATGAGAGTGAGATCCTTACCTTTCCTGAACCAGACTCTTGTGTAAATAAAAGTTAGTATTGACCATTTGAACAGCCACATAAAATATTTATAGTTGATATAAGAGTTGTCTTTATTGCATTGATCTTCCACTATGTGCCAAGGAGTATATAAATTTTATTCTAACAAAGTTGTTCAAGATATTATCTTAGTCTGTAAATAATTCAACCCAATTTTTGTTTTAACATCTTCTGCCTTACTATTTTGATTCCTCCGCTTTCACTAGGCTTGTTACTTTCTTCGGCAGGGGGAATAGAAGTAGTCCTTGACATCTGTTTTTTTGGCTGAGACCCACAGCTTGCGGGATCTTAGTTCCCTGACCAGGGATAGAACTTGGCCCTCTCAGAGTGGAAGCGCAGAGTTCTAACCACTGGAAGTGGCCGTTGATTTATGTGTGGTAGCAGGTACCAAGCTGTGTGGGTATTAGTTTACACAGGTTGTCGGTGAGGGTCCTTCAGGTTCAGGCTCTTTGTGGACTCCGTGATGGGCTGTCATGTCCATCAGCGTTGTCCCTGCAAGGAGCCCTTCTCTGGGGCCGTGGCTCCTCCCTGGGTCTCTAACTGGAAGGCACTTCAGGAAACCACTCCACTCTCTGCTCTCAGTTCCTCCCACCACCTCTCTTCCTTCCCTTCCAACCTGAGAAAAGGACGATAGCTTCTCTTTCTCTGCCGTGTCTCAACATTTTGCCTGTATCTCAGCTCCTCTCTGTTCTCTTGGTGCTTAATGTTATGAAAAACATGAGAATTCCTTGGTGGTCCAGTGGTTAGGACTCTGCACTTTCACTGCCAAGGGTGTGGGCTCGATTCCTTGGTCAGGAACTGGCACCCCACAGCCCCTGCAGCCAAAAGAAAAGTTATGAAAAACAAATGCAGGCATC